AAAGAGCTGGAGGGGAAGTGGAGCAGCCAGGACTCAAGCTGGGGCCTATAGCTGATGCCGGTACTTGAAGTTGGAGTATTATCCCATCGAGTCACAGCACTAGCCCCTTTTACGTTGCTACAGAAAAAAAAAGACAAAGATAAGAACATTATTTTTACTCCCACTTATAGTCTGCAGTTATCTGATAATATTACTTACCTTTGCCCCAATGAGACAAACATTTTTAATACAGTGAGTTCAGGTTTGTATGATCACTCATCTCACTTATCTGGAGACAACACTCAGAGGAGTCCATGATCTCCAATAGACTGAGATTCACAAACACGATCTCTCTCTCTTTATTTTCTGCTTTTCTTTCCAGTTTTTAAAATCTTTATTCATTTTTATTGAAAGGACAGATCTACAGAAAGGGGAGAAAGAAAGAGAGAGAGAGAGAAAGTTCTCGTACTGCTGGTTCACTCCCAAATGACCAAAACAGGTGGAGTTGAGCTGATTCGAAGCCAGGAGCAGGTGCTTCCTCCTAGACTCCCACAAATGTGCAGGGTCCCAAGGCTTAGGGCCATCCTCTATTGCTTTCCCAGGGCACAAGGAGGGAGCTGGATGGGTGTGGAATAGCTGGGGGATACACAGGTGCCCATATGGGATCTTGGTACTTGGAGGTGGAGGATTAGCCAACATTGTGCTGGACCCACTTTTTTTTTTTAATTGAACATTACAGTTATGCAGAGAGGTTAAGAGACAGAGATCTTTAATCTGCTTGTTCTCTCCCCAGGTGACTGACATGGCCAGAGATGAGCTGATCCAAAGCCAGGAGCCAAGACTTTCTCCCAAGTCTCCCATGTGGGTGTGGGGTCCTAGAATCTTGAGCTATCTGCTGCTGCTTTGCCAAATCATTAGCAGGAGTCTGGATCAGAAGTGGATCCGCCAGGGGAGGACTGGTGCCCATAAAGGATGCTGAGAGAGAGAGAGAGAGAGAAAGAGAGAGAGACAGAGAGGGATTGTCTACCAGTTCACTCCCCAAATGGCTGCAATGGCAAGCTGCAATGGCAAGGGCTGGGCCAGGCTGAAGCTAGGAGCTTCATCCAGGTCTCCTATGTGGGTGCAGTGTCCCAAACTTGGGCCGTATTACTGTGCCTTCCTGGGGACACCAGTAGGAAGCTGGATTGAAAGTGTAACATCCAAGACATGCACCAGTGCCCACATGGGATAGAATGGCAATTCCATAGGCGGGGGCTTTACTCATTACCCCACAATGCCAACCACCTGACAACTTCTCTTCCTCTACCTTGGCACAGAGCCACTCAAAAAAGTACTTTGGGGCCATGCGGCATGGCCTGGTGGCTCAAGTCCTCGCCTTGAATGCGCAGGGATCCCATATGGGCACCAGTTCTAATCCCGGCTGCTCCACTTCCCATCCTGCTTCCTGCTTGTGGCCTGGGAAAGCAGTTGAGGATGGCCCAAAGCTTTGGGACCCTGAACCCATATGGGATACCCGGAAGAAGTTCCTGGATGCTGGCTTCAGATCAGCATGGCATTGGCCATTGCGTTCACTTGGGGAGTGAATCATCGGCCAGAAGATCTTCCACTCTGTCTCTCCTCCTCTCTGTATATCTGACTTTGTAATAAAAATATGTAAATCTTAAAAAAAAAAGTACTTCTGGGCTTGTGTGTAAGTATGACTTGTGACTCAAGTCTTGCCAAAAAGCTGTGTGAGAAAATGAGATAGACAAAACCCACCTCATTTGTTTAAAAGGATGCTGCTTGCCGGTACTTTTGTTTTTTCCCATTCATGAACGGAAGTGGCACTGTGCTCATGATCTAGAATGGGACAAGACTGTCCCATGTCTTAGGCCAGCTAGCCATTTTTCAAGATATAATTTGCCTTGTTGTATGCCACCGTATTTTAGGATCCCATTTATGTCAACATAGCCTTTACCTAAAGAGTCTTATCTATGGTACTGTATTGTAATGTACTATGTCTTTTATACATATTCCATCTCTACCGTTAAATGAACTGCTCTTTGGTCTCTGCTTCCTATCTTGCCTGTTACAGTTTATTCTCAGTAGCAGGGGCAACCTTCCATATTTCAAAACAAATATTCATTTACTTATTCAATGGGAAGAATGAACAAGAGAGAGAATGAGAGAGTGAGATAGAGATAGAGAGAGAGAGATTGATCTTCCATCACAGGTTCACTGCTCAATTTGTCACAAAAGCTGGGATTGGGTGAGGCTGAAATCAGGAGTCTGGAACTCCATCTGAATCTCTCATGTGAGTGTAGGGGCCCAAGCATTTGGTTAATCTGCTGCTACTTTCCTAGGTGCATTAGTAAGGAGTATGATTGGAAGCTGGGAAGCTGGGGGTTTGAACTCTTGCTTATAGGCATTGGCTTAATCTGCCCCGCCCCTCCAAAAAGTGAATTGGGAACTCAGTGCTGGTCTCCCACATGAATCCTTTTAAGGCAACTCAGCCCAGCTTATTTGCTAAAAAGCCTTATTCAGTGAAAGCTAAATCTTTCCACTAGTTTCTACTGCCCTGCAGGACCAGTCCTTAGCCTCAGCTTCTCATATCTCCTCAGCCTTAGCTTTCCACCCTCTCACTGTGTTATGCTCCTGCCTGAAGACACAACACATGCTTGGCATGCTGACGTGCCCACCTCCCTGCCATTCCTCTCCCAGCTAGGACGTTGTGCCTCTGTTGCTCCCTCTGCTTGTAACAGATATCAACATGGGCCATTCTGTTCTCATTCCATCCTTCACTCAACTCTCACTCTCCCAGGCTTTCTGTGATCACCCTCCCCAAAACTGAACTTCCCTCCTTGTCCCTGATACATGAGCTCATTTCCTTTTCTAATCTCCTCCCAAGCAAGTATCACATTTAACATATTGCATACTGACTTTCTCTACATGTTGGATATCTGCGAGTGTAAACTTCATGAGAACACAAGTTAATGTTCGTGAGAACAGGGGTTTGTGTTGTAAATACTTTGTAGCTCCCTCAGTGCCAAGTAGATTGCCTTGTATACAATCAAGTGCCCAGCAAAATCTTCATGAATGAACTTTGCAGAAGACACTAATATGCAGTTTCCTTGCTTTTCCAGTTCTTCCTAGATGTGTAACTACATTACATTTCTGGACTTTTGGAGAAGCACACAAGGTCAGAAAGAGGAGTTCTCCTTGGACAGTGCCAAGAATGTAACAAAAAGATAGGACTCAGTTTTGAAGTTCTTTTTGTTTATTATTATTTTTAAAAAAGGGTTAATTTATTTTCATTGGAAAGGAAGATTTACAGAGAGAAGGAAAGACACAGAAAGATCTTCCTTCCACTGGTTCTTTCCTCAAATGACCACAGTGCCTGGGGCTGAGCTGATCCAAAGCCAGGAGTTGGGAGGTTCTTCAGGTCTCCTACATGGGTACAGGGTCCCAAGGCTCTGGGAAACACTCTTCTGCTTTCCCAGGCCACAAGCAGGGAGCTGGATGGGAAGTGGAACAGTAGGGACACGCTCAGGTACCCATATGGGATCCCAGCACTTGGAGGTGCAGGATTACCCAATAGACTTTGCACTTTCAATTCTAAATTTGCACAATTTATTCTCTCCCTCTTTTTGATGCTTAAATCTTTAGTTCAAAGGCAGGTTTACAGAGAGTAAATGACAGAGAGAGGAGAGAGAGAGAGAGATCTTCCATCCATTTGTTCACTCTCCCAATGGCCAGAGCTGAGTAGAGCTGAAGTCAGGAGCCAGGTGGTTGTTCCCTATTTCCCATGTGGGTGCAGGAGCCCAGGGTCCTGGGTCATTCCCCACTGCCTTCCCAGGCATGATCAGTTAAGTAGCCTCCTGTGATGTTAGCACCTTCTATGGGAGTGCCAGTTGAGGTTTTTGGCTTCTCCATATCTAATCCACTTCCCTGTAGCAGTGCCTGGGAAAGCAGCAGAAGATTATGTAAGTGCATAGGCCACTGCCACCCATATGGCAAACCTGGATGGAATTCCAGGCTCCTGGTTTCTGGTTGCACCAGTCCCAGCAGTTGCCGGATTTGGAGAGTGAAGTCATGAATGCAAGATTCTGTGTCTCTTCCTCTCTTCTCTGTAATTCCACCTTTCAGATAAATGAATACATCTTCTAAAAATGCAACTTTCTCTAGTAGTGTCTCTGGATTAATTCAGGTGGAACCTCTTTGGTTATTTTTCTCCTGCTAGTTGTCTTTTGGTCAAGATGTCACCGGGTAGTTACAAAAGGGGAATAAGTCAGTTGAATAAGCTTGTGTCTCCATGATGTAAAAAGTGCTTTGGGGTTGGGCTTAGTACAGAGTGGATTATGCCTATGCTTGGGATTCCAGAATCCCATTTGTGAGTGCCACTGTGTGACCCTGATACTCTGCTTCTGTCCAACTCTTCACTAAGGTGCCTTGGAAGCTATGGATGATGGCCAGAATGATTGGGTCCCTGCTGCCCATGGGGGACATGAGGATGACGCCTTGCTGGCTCTTGGCTTTTGCCTGGAGCACTGTCGGGTTGTTGAGTTTTGGGGAATGAGCGAGATGATGAAAGATTCTTTTTACCTTTCAAGTAAATAGATGCTTAAAAATAAAGTGTTCTAATTCAGAGTCATCTTTATAGAACAAAGATCATATTCAGCAACATGTACAGTTAGGGGGCTGCCATCTTGACTGCCTTCAAAGGAAATGAAATCAGAAGCACACTTTTTGTTGTTGTTGTTCTAATGAAAGGAATGGAGAGGGGAGAAGTGCAGTTGGTAGCTCCTTTGCCTAAAAGCAAAAGCATCAGCAGCAGCATCCCTCCACACCTCTCCCTCCATCAACAGTCAGAGGACTTCACACTCCCCAGCCTGCCAGCCCCGCCCCATAAGCCATTCAGAGAGAAACTGAAGGAGGTGAAGTGGCAACACAGGCTCCACCCTGCCTCCCCCTTGTCTAATCAGGGAGGGAAGGGTGGGGATCTTCCTGTGGGCCCCTCCTCCCCAGCCAGGCGGGAACATGGGTGGTGGAGTAGCAAGGCGAAGCAATTGCCATTGAGTCTCCTGGCCGACTCCAGTGCGTGTCTCCACAGCAGCAAGGATCGCTGAGCGAAGAGTGCCCAGGTCTTTGGCCAGGATGCTGAATATCATAATCTTCAGTGGCAGCTCCCACCAGGACTTATCCCAGAAGATTGTTGACCGCCTGGGCCTGGAACTAGGCAAGGTGGTAACGAAGAAATTCAGCAATCAGGAGACCTGGTAAGGGCGAAGTTGGGTCCTGCTGGTATTTCACCTGTCCGGGGTGGCGGGGTAGGGAGATGGGGCCTCTTCTGAGCTCCAAAAGACTGGAGGGGAGAGGAAACGGACTGCTGTGTGGCTTGTTTCCGTTATTTCATCCCTCGCGGGAGGGTCCTGTTCATTCACTCGGTGCAGTGGAGTGGAGTGGAGTCAAGATGAAGCTCGAGGCAAAGATGCTGAGTAAGATGGCAAAGAGTAGAACCCCCCAGTGCCGGAATACTGGCTTCCTAAATCCATGGGAATAGACTGAGGTTTAGCGTTGGCAACGCAGACACATGGCTCTGTAGATTTCCTTGTGGAGCCAACCAGGCTTGTTGGCTTCCTTTCACTTAGGCACTTGGTCTAGATGCACCAAGAATCGAACTTACCTCATTCTGAGTCCTGCTGGTCTTTTTTCTACAGTGGCAAGAATCTGTTTGTTCCATTCCCAATCATTTCAGTCTGGCTTGTTTTTAAGGGAAACTGACATTAAGCTGTTGAGTGCCCTCAAATACTGTACTGTGGACTTCCTTACATTGCTAAGTGTTGGCTTTTCTTGTCTTTGGAATTATTTATCAGATAACTAGAGCCACACTAAAGCGAAATCTAATTGATCAGATCTGTATCCTTGGTAGCTGCTGTCTTAGGGAACTCTAGTTATGGAATCAGATCTTTGCCGTTCCTCCTTGCAGCAAGTTCTACATCTAATACAAAAGCTAAGCGTGCTTCTTAGCAGCAGTCTATTCCTGATCCATCTACTCATCCTACCATTACCTGGCGTAACTTGGACACAATTTAATGTGTTAAGATGGTTAAGGACAGATGAAGTGGAAGACCTGATTTTAGTTTGCATTGTCTTGCCAGTACGATTTTTCTCCCTTGCTTCCACGTACTACCTGCCAACCCCACCATCTCGGAGATCATTTGGTTACCTATCATTTCAAGGCTTTGAGCCATCCTCCACTGCTTTTTCAGACTGTAAGAAGGGGAGCTGGATGGGAAGCTTAACAACCAAGCCTGTTGTGTCATTTTTTAGCTTACTCTGTATCAGTATTTAAGGATCCTGCCATGAAGTCTTTATTACTATCTCATCTGGTAGACGGACCGCATCACATCATTGTTCTACCTAGAAAAGGTTATGAGCATATCTGTCAAGAACTTTTACTATTTTTTTAAAAAGCCTTTTTTAATTGGAAAGGCAGATTCACATATAGGAGACACACAGAATGATCTTCCATCCACTGGTTCAGTCCCCCAAGTGGCCACAACAGCCAGAGTTAAGCCAATCTGAAGCCAGGATCCAGGAGCTTCCTCCAAGTCTCCCACATGGATGCAGGGTCCCAAGGCTTTGGGCCATCCTCGGCTGCTTTCCCAGGCCACAAGCAGGGAGCTAGATGGGAAGTAGAGCATCCAGGACACCAAGTGGTTTTCATATAGGATGCTGGTTCTTGCAGGTAGAGGATTAACCAATTGAATCACTGCTCCGGCTTTTGCTTTTATTTTATTTATTTATTTATTATTTGAAAGCCAATTACAAGGAAGAGGTGAGACACAGAATCAATATGTTCGTTTACTGCGCAAATGGCTGTATTGACCAGGGCTGGGCCAGGCTGAAGCTAGGAGCCTGAAGCATGTTCTAGGTTTCCCATGTTGTGCAGGGGCCCAAGTCCTTGGGCAAACTTCCACTGCTGTCCCAGGTGTATCAACAGCAAGGCACTAATTCAGAAGTAGCAGCTGGGTCTCGAATCAGGGCCTATATAGGATGTTGGCACTGCAAGCTGAGGCTTAGCCTAATAGGCCATAACATCAGTCCCAAGACCTTGAAAAAAAACCATGTGCTTCCCCCATGCCTCTAGTGTGGAACCAAAAGTGAGTTATTTTTCAAAGGAAGAAAAGTCAGTTTTCTGAGCTTTCACGTAGCAAGCTTAGAGTGATGTTATGTTCTCTAAAGTGAATAAATGCCAGAGGTGACCTAATCCTGAACATATTTGTTCATTCTTAAATGCATTCGTCCATTCATTCTGTTTTTATAAAATGTTTTTCAAAAGTGTTCATTTATTTGAAAGGCAGAGAAAGAGAGGGATTTCCATGTCATGGTTCACTTCCCAAATGCCATGATAAGCGGATTAGACCATATTGAAGCCAAGAATCAGGAATTCCATCTCAGATTTTCTTCTTGGAGAGTAAAAGGCCTGAGGACTTGGCATCATCTCCTGCCTCGCAGGGGTGTGTATTAGTAGGAAGCTGAACTGCAAACAGAGTAGCTAAGAGTTACACTTGCACACTGAAAAGCACGGGGTATCCTACAACACCAACAGTGCCTGCGCCAATTCAGCTCTGGTCTTTACCTTCATGGTGTTTGCATTCTAATGATGGAGAAAGGTTATATAAATATCTATACATACATATAGCTAGATCTATTTAGATCAAGCTATACATACTGATATATGTTGTCTGTCTAGGTTTATCTAGATCTAAATCTATAGATAAATCTATATCTATATGTATATATAAATAAATGACAAATTGATTGTAAATGTTCTGAAAGGAATAAGCAGAATGAGAAAGCTGGATGGGCCAATTGATTCAGTTTTTTATGACAGAGCATTTCAAACAGACAGAATTAGAAAATGTTCTACTGTGACCCCTCCTACTCACATACTTTGGCAGTTATCAATTTAATAACTAATGACTTATAATTAATGGCCAATCTTGTTCCACTTATTTCCCCTTCTCTCACATACATGAATACACAAAATCAAATTATTTTCAAGGAAGCATTAATCATATATATATATATATATGCACTTCAGTAACCACAAAACCATTTTTGTGTCTTAAAAATTAACAGTGATCCATCAACACCAGATAACTAGCCATATTTTCAAAATTTTTCCCGTCTGGTACATGTGGTGCAGTCTGATTTAAGTCATCCAAAAAATAGCCCATACACTTCAGCTGGCTGACCCAGTAAGTGACTTTTAATTTTATAGATCCTATGGAAAGTCATCGTTGAGGACATAGGGAAGGTGGTTTCACTGGAGCTGTGAATGGGGGTGGAGAGGTAGCAGAGAGAGCATTCCAGGCAATAGGCAGAGTGCAGAGGCCGTGAAGTGGGAAAGGGGGGACTGGGAGGGGGTGTGGTTTTCATGCGATGCTAGGGAGAAAAACTCTCTTGATGAGTTATTTCTCAAATTGACTATTAAAATGAGAGTTCTCCAGATTCCCTCCCAGGGCTACATTGCTTTACAGACAGCATTACGGCCGGCCAAGGTTCTCTGAACTAACCATAGAAGTCATTTTGTTTTTACGGATACTTTTGTTTTGAAATATTTATTTTTAACTTTTATTGGAAAGTCAGATATACAGAGAGGAGGAGAGACAGAGAGGAAGATCTTCCGTCTGATGATTCACTCCCCAAGTGAGCGCAACGGCCAGTGCTATGCTGATCTGAAGCCAGGATCCAGGAACTTCTTCCAGGTCTCCCACATGGATGCAGGGTCCCAAGGCTTTGGGCCATCCTCGGCTGCTTTCCCAAGCCACAAGCAGGAAGCTGGATGGGAAGTGGAGCTGCCGGGATTAGAACTGGTGCCCATATGAGATCCTGGTGCATTGAAGGCAAGGACTTTAGCTGTTAGGCCATGCCACCAGGCCCTACAGATAAAGATACAGAGCTCAGCTTTCCCTGAGGGATGAGATTATGGTTTACTCAAGTATACCCAAGGTATACTTTTTGTTAAAATTGCATTTTGAGGACCCGATGTGATAGCGTAGTGGTTAAGGTTCTTGCCTTGCACGCACTGGGTTCCCATATGTGTGCCGGTTCTAATCCTGGCAGCCCCACTTCCCATCCAGCTCCCTGCTTGTGGCCTGGGAAAGCAGTCCAGGATCGCCCAATACTTTGGGACCCTGCAACCGTGTGGGAGACCTGCAGGAGATTCCTGGCTCCTGGCTTTGAATAGGCATGTACCATCAGTTGCGCTCACTTGGGGAGTGAATCATTGGACAGAAGATTTTTCTCTTTGTCTCTCCTCCTCTCTGTATACCACCTTTCTGATAAAAATAAATAAAACTTTAAAAAAATGGCATTTTGAGATAATTGTGGATTTTCATACAATTGTAAGAAAAAATACAGAGATCCAGTGTATCTATCATCCAGTTTCCACCGAGTTTCTAACTATAGTTTTTTCCAAAGTGTAGCTTCCTGCAAAACTACAGTGTGCTGTAGCAATCAGCATGGTGACATAGGCGCAGTCAAGCTAAAAGGCCCTTCACTACAGTGTCTTTCCTGTTATCCTGTTGTAACCCCACGTCCACATTTTCTTCTCCTTTGCCTCTATTTTTCCGTCCTGTTCCTTTTGTCTGGTTTTTGGATGGTTCTATGTTTTCTACAAAAGACTACATAGAATTGATGAAGATTTTAAAAAGAAAAAGATGTAGGAGAAGAGAGGGTGGATGTGTGCCAGAGGCCAGCTGAAGCCGAGTTTGGAGCTCGAGAAGGGTGTGTGGAGTCGGCATAGAGAGAGAAAATGGACCACTCTAATGTCATGGTCATAATGGACCATGCAAGAAAGCTGTGTCCTGTATTTATACAGAAGCAGTCACAAACTCTCGCACAGATTTTCACAGACTTTTTATGGGGTGGCTGAGCTGCCGGGGTCTGGGGTGCAGAGTCCGGGCCTGGGGTGCACCCACACGCCCGGGGTCTGGGGTCAGAGCTGCCGGGGTCTGGGGTGCACCCACACACCCGGGGCCTGGGGTGCAGAGCCCGGGGCCTGGGGTGCACCCACACACCCGGGGTCTGGGGTCAGAGCCTGGGGCCTGGGGTGTACCAAGTGGGTGTTTCAAAAGATAAATCTGCCGGTTGCTTCAGCTTAAAGCAGCAGGATGTTATCTGTCCTGACCTCATGGTCAGGAAGTTCTCAATAGACAGCAAATATCCTTCAGTAACATTCGTACTACAATCCTCATTCTACAACTTAATCTTAAATCAGTTAAAGGGGGAAATTCACCACAGAAGGTAAAACCTAAAGATCAAGAAAAAACCCTAAACCTAGATTACCACTACACCCATGGGTTAAACAACCCTAGATTAATCTAAAAGTGTGTTTTACCTCAAACTCTTCCTGCCGTATGGTCACTGGGGACGGTCAAAACATCATGAATTATTAGACGTTATTAGCAACATCAAACAAAGATCACATTGTTTGTAAAAACCAGCTCACAGGGGCAAACGACGATGCCTCAATAGATTGCAGAATTCTCAGCAGTGTGGTCAGGTGTCCATGCAAAGCGGGGTGAAACTGCCTTGAGGTGGTTGGAGAGACATCCATCAGGCCTTGCCTTGTATCAGGAAGCTCCTTGAGGCCTTGCCAGCAGGGGAGCAGTTCTCTTCACACCTTTGTGTCATCCACACCCACTGCATGGGCCCCAGCAGTGGGACACAACATTGGGTCCCCAGCATGGGACACAACATTGGAGTGCTTGGGTATGGTGCTGAGCCCCAGCTTCCAATTCTAGCTTCCTACTGATGCAGAGCCTTAGACAGTGGTTGAAATGGTTAATTCCCTAGCATCAGCATCCCAGGAGGACTGGATGGGGTTCCAAGGTCCTGGCTTTGGTGTGGCCCAGCCATGGATGTTGTGCGGATTTTGCGAGTGAACCAACCAATGGGAAATCTCTTTGTCTCTATGTCTTACTTATATGAATACATACATATGTACATATGTGCATGCATAAAGCATATTTTATGACATGTATATATGCATAGATATTTTCCTAGTTATTTTTATTGAAAAGACAGATCAGATTAATGGAGAGAGGTAGGAAGAAAGATCTTTAACCCACTGATTCACTCCTCAAACGGCCACAACAGTCCAAGCTGAACTGAGCCGATCAGAAGCCAGGAGCCAACATCCTAGAGATGGTGCTGTTACAAACAGAAAACATCATCATACAAGAGTGGTGATTCATGCCTTATGATTTCCACTTTAGTTAGGTATGGATTGTGTAACTGTCACAGGTAGTGTGTCACATCTACATTCACATTGGGCATATCTGTTTGATGATGTGCACCCATTAGTGATACTGCAGTGCACTTATTTGTAAGCACCTCACACTAACAGTACCAAATCATCTTGACATCACGTTATGTGTAGACAGTAATGTGTTGTCTAAGGCACTGACGTGGAAGTCAAACATGAACAGGCTTCCAGTACAGGAGCTCCTTCCACAGGATTTTCTGAAGTCTGCGGGATCAGATGCTGTAAATCACTTACTGCTTGTGCGTGAGGAAACCATGCTGCAGAGACCTTACCGTGTGCTTCAGATCTTGTCCCAATGTTGTCCTTTGTCCATTGCAGCGTGGAGATAGGCGAAAGTGTCCGTGGAGAGGAGGTTTACATTGTGCAGAGTGGTTGCGGTCAAGTCAACGACAATCTGATGGAGCTTCTGATCATGATCCACGCCTGCAAGATCGCCTCGGCCAGGCGGGTGACCGCAGTCATCCCCTGCTTCCCTTACGCGCGGCAGGATAAGAAGGATAAGGTAGTCGAGGAATCTTTTAGGATTTATCTGTTTATTTGAAAGGCAGTGAGAAAGAGAGGAAAGAGATCTTCCATTTACTGGTTCACTTGCCACGTGTCACGACAGCCAGAGGGTGAGCTAGGACAAAGCCAGGAGCCAGGAACTCCACCTGGGTCTCCCATTGAATGACAGGGCACATCTTCTGCTACTTTCTCAGAGGCTTTAGCAGGGAGCTGAACTGGAAGTGGAACAGCCAAAACTCCAACTGTTGCTCATATGGGATACTGGTATCCCAGATGGCTGCTTAACTCACTGCCACAACACCAGCAACAGAATCTTATCTTTTTATGTTTTGTTTTGGTTAATTTTGATTGGAAAGGCAGATTTGCAGAGAGCAAAAGGGACAGATCTGTCGTGTGCTGGTTCACTCCCCAAGTGGCTACAACAGCCAGGGCTGAGCCAATCTGAAGACAGGAGTTGGGGGCTTCTTCCAGGTCCCCATGTGGGTGCAGGGTCCAATGATTTGGGGAGATTTTCTACTGCTTTCTCAGGCCACAAGCAGGGAACTGTATAAGAGCTGAAGCAGCCAGGATAGGAACTGGTGCAAACATGGGATTACAATGCAAGCAAGGCCAAGGTTTAGCCACTAGGCTATTGCTGAGCCCTTCCTTTCCCACCCCCACCCCCCTTTTAAGCAAGGAATGCAGAAACAATTGCTGAACTTCCCCCACCTCCCTAAAAATCCCTATCTATCAGATACATATCTGCAGGGTACTTTAAAACAATGCTGTCTTAGATATGATCTTATGGTCAAAGTAGTAGACATTGTAGGTTTATATTCAAGCCACACTCTAGTGATTTGTTATTCAAGTCACACATACATAATTTTAAGTTAGTTCCCTGACATTTCGAGCGGGTGGTAGGATTTATTTGGAAGACAGAGAAAAAGATCTTCCAGTTGCTGGTTCACTGCTCAAATGCCCACCAAAAAACAGGGTTGAACCAGCTGAAGCCAGGAGCCAGGAACTCCATCCTGATCCTGTCTGTAGCTTAAGGTGGCAACAATTTTGGTCATTTGGGGCTGTTTAGCCACATATATTCTATCTGCTGCCTTTTCCTCAAATATCGACAGAATCCAGGCCAGACCTGGTCAAAGCCGAGAGCTCAGAACTCCATCTGGGTCTCCCAGTTGAGGCTGCCTCCTTGGATGTGCATTGATAGGAATGGGGTAGAAATCTGCCTGGCTGGGCCTTAAGCCTAGGTGCTGTGATGTGGGATGCAGATTTGCAAGTTGCAACTTAAGCTGCTGTGCCCAATGCCTCCCCCTGAAATGAATGTTCAGGCTCTGGCATGTTAGAAATAGTGTACAGATTTGAGAATCTGGGTTCAATGAGATTTTGTTTAAAAAAGAATATAGTTATTTTAAAGGTGGAGTGACAGTGGAATTCAGAGAGACAAAGAGGTCTTTCATGTGCTTGTTCACTCCCCAATAGCTGTGTTAGTCAGGGCCAAGCTGAAGCCAGGAGCTGGCAACTCCATCCAGGTTTCCAACGTGGATAGCAGGGCCCACGTACTTGAGCCATCTTCCACTACTTTCCCAATCACATTAGCAGGGAGATGGATCAGAAGCTGAACAGCCAGGATTGAAACTGGAGTTCTGATATTGGATGCCAGTGTTGCAAGTGATGACTTAACCAAGCCTTCTGTGCCATGATGCCAGCTCTCCTGGAGATTTTAAGAAAAGTATTAAACAAAACAAAACAGCAAAACATTTGAAGTCTGTCTAGTTTGAATAAGCTTTGGAAGCACTTGAGTAGACTGAAAATATGTTAACTAGTTTTATTTATTGAAGATTCTGCATCAAGATGGTAATGTTCATTTCTTTTTGTTCAAGATTTTTTTATTATAAAAATGTATATATTCATTTGAAAGGCAGAGTTCGAGGGAGAAAGAGAAAGACATAGTTTTCCATCTGCTGGCTCTCATTTCCCAAGTGGCTGCTGTAGCTGGGCTGGACCAATCTGAAGCCAGGAGCCAGGCATTTCTTCCAGGCCTCCCCAACTGAGTGCAGGGGCCTAAATACATGGGCCACATTTCACTGCTTTTCCAAGCACGTTAATGGGGAGCTGGGTTAGAAACGGAACAGCCAAGGTTTAGAGCAGTGCCCATATAGAGTGCTGGCATTACAGGCGTAGATTTAACTCAAGATGCAGCAACAGTGCTACTTTTAGATTGTGATCTATTTGAAGCCAGTGGTCATATCTGCTCTTCATAGTAATAAGTGCATAGTAAGTGTTTCTTAAGCAAATGAATTCATTTTAGGATTTCCGGTTTTCTTCCATTTCCTTCCCTCTCTAGAGCCGGGCTCCCATCACAGCCAAGCTTGTTGCAAACATGCTGTCCATGGCAGGTGCTGATCACATCATCACCATGGATCTACATGCTTCTCAAATTCAGGTATCAGTGGAAGTTAAGTACTGGGGGTTGCAGTAGTTGGGGGAGAGGACTGACAGTTCTGAAGCCTACAGAGAAGGCAACAACTGCCCAAGTGCAGCCCAAGAAACTAGATACTCAATGACATTTTAAATGTGTTCTCCTTAAGCACATTTTGTGATCGTAGGTATTTGGGGTGATGAGAGGGAACTAGTCTGGCACTACGGGCTAAGCGTGAGCTTGGGTTCAGATCTAGCTGTAATATTGGCACTTACACTAAAGGCTTGGACAGGTATGTCTCTGAACATTTGTTTCATTATTGTGAATGTGAAGTGACATTAAATTCATAGTATAATATCTGGTACTTTAATGGTGAGTTCTCAGGCCTGGGAAGCTGTTCTTATTCCTTTTAAATATCCAACATCTTAAGTTGAGAGCCACAAACTTGTAGTAAGAGAAATGAAACACAACCTTTATTTTGTACACTTAAAAGAGATTTTTGTCATCATTGTCAGATTTGTGGCAATCCGGTGATTATATAGAACAGGAGACTGTACACATATCATAGAATAAGAACACATTTTTTAAACTTATGTTTAAGGCAGAGTTAGAGAGAGGACAGAGATAGATGTTCAGTCCACTGGGTTCACTCCCCAGATGGCTGAAATGGCCAGAGCTGAGCCCATCTGAAGCTAGGAACCAGTAGCTTTTTCCAAGACTCCCACCTGGGTGTAGGGGGGTCCAAGAGATTGAGCCATCTCCTGCTGCCTTCCCAGACCATGGGCAGGGAGCTGTGTGGGAAGGAAAGCAGCCTGGACATAACCTGGCACCCACCTGGGATGCTGGTGCTGCAGCTGGAAGCTTAGCATACTATACCACTGCACCAGCCCACGCATTACCCAGAATTATAACAGACATTCTTTTAGCTGTTCTTTGTGATCATTGCTTATGAATCACTTCCACTAAGTTTATATATACCATTGACACCTCTGGCTTGACGGTTAAGCAACATTCAGAGGCATGGAGCACTGTTTATTAACCTACGAGTCTGCAGGTTAGTTAGATGATCCTGACAGACACTAGCTGAATTCGGTTGGTCTCCACCAGGGTGTGCTCATGCTCCTATGATGAGTCATGGGTTAGTGTCACTGATCTTGACTGGAGTCTCAGCTGAGATTTCAAAGTGTTGTTTTTATCTTCTTTATCCTGGGCATGCTTTCCTGCTTGAGTTTCACAATGTGATCTTCTTGGGGGCATGTTGCTCCCGTGTTACGATGCACAAACAGAATAGGAAGCAACATGAAGCAGGACTGATGGAGCTTCCTCCTGCAGGGCTTCTTTGATTTCCCAGTGGACAATTTGTATGCCGAGCCAGCTGTCCTGAAGTGGATCCAGGAGAACATCTCTGACTGGAGGAACTGCACAATTGTCTCCCCGGACGCTGGTGGAGCTAAGAGGTAGGGAGGGTGTGAGCACTTTCCCCAATGTGTTGGACAAGAAGTCTTTTAGACAGTTGGGTGTGATGGTCAGCTTCCCATAGTCATGGCAAACAACCCAAATCAGTCAGCTTAGAAACAGGTGGTTTAGCTACCATTTTGAAGTTCAAACTCTGAATGACACAGTATAGATTTTGGCTTTGATGAAGAGTCTATGACAAACCGCATGGTGGGAACATGCGCACTGGCAGGCAGGCTTACCTGGTGAGCCAGGAAGTGGGGAGGGATGGAGTGAAACTCCACACTTCAAACAACCCTCTTGTGAGAACTACCTCCCGGGACAGGTCTCCAGGGACCTAGAGATTGCCCACAAGGCTCCATGTCCTAAATGTTCCATCTTGTCTTAGTAGAGCCACTCTGAGGATCAAGTCTTTTGGGGCAACATTCTAGTTGTAAGCCATTGTGGTTATTGGCAGAAAGTGATGTTTTGTTTTCCTCTGACTGGCAGTTTTTCAGTACTTCAGAATGGGTATATTAGGAGCTGGACATGGAGTGGATGTCACTTCACTTACTCCTCCTGCATTGTCTTTAGTCACTTCTTGGAAGACAAGGCCAAAAAGGGGCCCTAAGGGAACATGGTGTTGTGAGCTTAACCGTCAGTAGGATTAGTAACTTCACTAGCAATGGTTCTCAACCCACTAGGAAGAATAGAAAATTCGGGGTTCTAATGAATGGCACCTGCTATTACATCACATTAGTTTGATAGACCTCTTACCATGCCAATGGTTGCATGTTTAATCTTTGTTAAGCAAGAAGCAAAATCCTAAAGTATTGGATCTTTATTAAAAGCCAAGAATTTATACAAACTCTTTACCAAGTATTTCCACTTACACTGTAACTGCCACGGTGCGGACCCCAAGCCCCATGACTGTGTTAGGAGATTGCCAATAGTAATGACACTTGTTCTTCTGGTTGGGAAACTAGAATGAAGAACTGGAAAACACAGGTTAGGAAAAGCTAATTCACAACCTAGAAAAGTTGTGACTTAAACGACTTCTTGATTTCAGTATCTCGGCTGGACTGAGAAGCTGTGAGCATGTTCTCTTTGCAGCCAGCTGTTTGGCCTGGTGAGCAGTACCAGAAACAGCTTGAAACACAGGTTCCCTTGACAACAGGAAGTTGTGAAGCTTGCCTTCACTTGATCTGACCATTATGTATATATTGTCATGTTCTCAATCAGCAGGATTGTCTTGACAAAACTGGATCCAGGAAAACTGCCTTCAATAGATGATTGCCACCTAATGATTTTTTTTTTCATTCTACTTATCTTGCAGTGGTGGCGTGTTTGCCAAATGAGTCACTGTCATTTCTGACTTGGCAAGGTTTGGTGGAACAGCTGTGATTTATGGGATAGTAAGTCTCCACTCTCCAAAACCTCTTCCCATGGTGGATTTCTCCACCTTGCTGCATTACCACAGTTCAAATTCAGTTGAGGTTCTTTCATTGGAAGTTTTTACCAAGCAGAAATTCAGTGTCTTATTATCCTAGTTAGTTCAAAGTTTTCTTGGTGAGACCATCTCTAGTCTGAAGGTAAAGCCGGCAAAGGATCATCCCAATCAATTAAAAGCCCCAACATAACATCAATAACAATATACAACATCATGGCATTGATTGACATGGTATTGATTAACCAATATATTAATAGGAAAATGCAGGTGCTTAACTACATCCTGTGATTTCTTCATAGACATTTTAATTTTGGTTTATATTCAACCAGGTTCTATACACCTCAAAATGGCTATAGATTACTAGTCAGCTGTCTCGTGTCTATTTTCATTTTAGTATTTAGTATTTAGTGTTGAAGGAGGGGTTGGGGGAATCCCAGTGCCTATAACACTGTGTCCCATAATGCAATACAATTAACAAAAAAAAGAAAGAAAGAAAGAAATTCTCCACTCACGGAATTAGGGGCTACTTTCCTAGTTCTTTTTCTGCTTTGTTGATCTCTGAGTTTTCTGACCATTTAGATGATTTGAGACTTTTTTTTTTCTGAGACCATAATCTTCCTTGGATGAATAACCCTTGCAAACCGATTGGTAACTATGTGATGTGCCTAAGCAGAGAGTAAGTCAGAATAGCGTCTGTGGTTCACTTCAGCCAAGTTACAAACATCAGAACTTATTAGGGTCACATATTGTCCCTATTCAGAATAAAACCTGGACTGTGTGGCCACAAGGGAACTAAGACGTAATGCCATGGTTGGATCGCTGCTATATTTCAAAACCAGACTCAGGTGGCTTCTTTAGCCACAGTTCAGCCTAGAGGTTGCATATTCACCAGGGCAGCCCACTGTCATTTATGCTGCAATCATTTGTGCTTCAGTGTTAGGTAGCACATGGTCACCACTTCCCAGCCACATTTGTCTTGAATAAGAAGAATAGAAAGTTGTATTTTGACTTGGAGATACTTCGGTCTAGTTAATTGTTACAAATGTTTCTAAGAATTATGGAAGGACCTCCCTTGTGGTGTCCAAATCCACTAGCTGTTGGTGGGGATTTTGCCACCAACACTAGGGGATGCCATGGCCATGGGAATTGAAACATACTGGTCATTATTTCCCTTTTGCTACACTTCTCACCATAGCCCTGGTCCCGAGTTGGCCCTCATGGGACTTCCTGCAATTCCAGTAGCAACTGTCCTTCATTTATGGGGTAGAGTGTGACAAGGTATTATGCAGCAGGTACTGAACAACTCAGAATAATTAACATTTCTGCCTCCTTATCATTGCTTCACTGGGAGGCCTCCAGCTCCTCTCTGTCAGAGCCTGCGGAACATATTCGATAGGGTATTGTGAGCTGCGGTCCCTGAGTGTGCTGTGGAGCACTAGAACACCTCCCTTGCATCTGCCCTGACATACATTGAAACGGGACACCCCCTGCTTTACAGAGTGACCTCCATTGCAGATCAGTTGAATGTCGACTTTGCCTTGATTCACAAAGAGCGAAAGAAGGCCAACGAGGTGGATCGCATGGTGCTTGTGGGAGACGTGAAGGATCGGGTGGCCATCCTGGTAGATGACATGGCTGACACGTGTGGCACCATCTGTCACGCAGCCGACAAGTGAGTGCACAGTGATGGGACTGATGGCTAGAAGTGAAAGATGCTGCCTGGACACCGTCAGCTGGCCAGTTCTTTCTGAAGGAATCACTCTTTGCTTAACTTGTGATATAAATATTGAGCTCTCTTTCTTTTGTTGGAATATTTCTTACCAAGATTATATAACAAAATTTACCATTTGACTGTTTTTTTAGTTTTATTTGAAACACAAAGCAAGAAACTTTGCTCAAGAATCATTGCTGTGACTGATTTAAAAAAAAAAAATTTTTTTTTGAAAGATGGATTTACAGAGAGAAGGAGATACAGAGAGATTTTCCATGTGCTGGTTCACTCCCCAAATGTTTACAATGGCCAGAGTTGAGCCAGTCCAAAGCCAGGAGCCTGGAATTTCTTCCATGTCTCCCACATGTGTGCAAGGACCTAAGGACTTGAGCCAGTCTCTGTTGCTTTCCCAGGCCACAAAGTAAGGAGTGGGATTTTAAGTGTTGCAGCCAGGACATGAACTGGTACCCCATTTGGGGTGCTGGCACCATAAGTGGAGGCTTAGCCTACAATGTCACAGCATCAGTCCCAACCTTGTTTGCTTCTGATAGCTTATTTTAACAAGTTATCATAAAACTCCACAGATCTGAACAGAAATAAATGCAGTACTTTAAAAAGTTCATGAAAATGGAAGATAAGTATTTTGATGCAAAAAAAAAATTAAAAGCACTATACATATTTTCTGTACATTAAAGTTCATTATATTTGACCTTATTTATTTTCAAGTTGTTTTTCATGATAGAATTCCTTAGCTTTAGGGATTTCTCCTTCCACCTCCCCTACCCTCTAATTCTCTACTGTTTCCCCTTATATTGTAACAATAGTTATTGTAGTTTTAAAGATTTATTTATTTTCTTTGGAAAGGTAGATTTACAGAGAACAGAGATGGAGAGATCTTCCATCTGCTGGTTCACTCCCCAAATGGCCTCAATGGTTGGAGCAGAGCTGACCTGAAGCCAGGAACCAAGAGCTTCTTCCAGGTCTCCCACAGGTGCAGCACGTGGGTGAACCCAAGCACTTGGGCTGTCCTGCACTGCTTTCCCAGGCCATAGAAGAGAGCTGGATGGGAAATGAAGTGTGTGGTTCCACAGGAGCCATCCTGCACCTCCATCTAGGTCTCCCATAAGAATGACAAGAACCCTAGGGCCAGCATGGTGGCACAGCACGCTAATTCTCAATCTGTGGGGCTGGCATCCTATATGGACAGCTGTTTTGTGTCCTGGCTGCTTCGTTTCCAATCCAGCTCCCTGCTAACAAATGTGAAAAGAAATTTGGGTTGCTTGAATGGTCTCTGGCTTGGAAAAGTTTCCTCTTTCCATATCATCAGAGCATATCTTCTGAAGCTGTGGCTTCCAAAGCTGTGGCTTTACTGCATCATGGTAAATAACAAAAACACTGGACAGTACTCTCCCCACGTATGCGTACAAGAAGTGCTCCTATGTGCACACAGCAACATAGCACGAGGTATCTACAAACCAAGAGATGAGGCCTCAGAGTGGAATGTACTTTGCACCCTGTCTTTAGCATTCCAACTTCCAGAACTGTGAGACATGCATCGTGATTAAGTCACCTGGGCAGTGATCATTTCTGATGGCAGCCCACCCAGACTTACACATCCTTCCTCCCTTGCTCACATTCTCCTCTGAGAAGATTAATTCGAATCAACTCTCTTCTAGACTTCTCTCGGCTGGAGCCACCAGAGTTTATGCCATCTTAACGCACGGAATCTTTTCGGGACCAGCCATTGCTCGCATCAATAATGCGTGCTTTGAAGCGGTGGTCGTCACCAACACCATACCTCAGGAAGACAAGATGAAGCAGTGCTCCAAGATTCAGGTAAGTAGGAGAGTGGCAGAGCAGGCCTTCATGGAGCAGGGAAAAGGTGCTTGTATTCCATGCATTCAGTGTCTGCACTCTCAAGATTGCCATCTTTGGTTTTGGGGGAACATGTTAGTCTGTCATCTGGACCTGTGATCTAAAAATTATTTAAAAAGAAAACCTGTTTAAAAATGACAATTGCTAAACCTCATTATCTCCTAGGCTGGCAGCTTCTCTATTGAACAGGCTCTGCAAGTGAGCCTCACACTCACTTCTCGTCTGTCCTAGGCATAATGGGAACCTTTAGATGAACCAGTTGTATACCACTTATGAGTTTAGTGTTTCTCAAAGTATTCCTAGATTTATTCCTTGTTCAAGAGTAGATTCTTTTGCTTCATCGAAGACAGTTAACATCCTGGACCCAATATTTTAAAACGTAAATGCCTCCCTAAGCAGTTATTAGGTACTACAGTCTGATTGCAGTAAAACAATAAGGCCTTCCATGTGTACAGTACACCGTTAGCTTTCCTAAGCTATAGTTCTATATAGTTGAAGGACTGTTGTCATTCAGAAGGAGTTTGGTTGAAGATTTGTTTACGTATTTCTACCTGTTGCTATAGTCTTTGTGTCTGGGCCAGGCTGAAGCAGGAGCTTAATCTGAGTCTCCAACACAGATACAGGGGCCCAAGTATTTGGGTCATCTTGCTGCTTTTCTGGACACAACAGCAGGAAACTAGATCACAAGTGGAACAGCCAAGACTCATGTGGATGGGATGCCAGCATTGAAGGCAGTGACTTACCTCTCCATGCCCCATTGCTGGCCCCTCAGGGTTTTTGTTTTTTTTTTTTTTTCAACTTAAAACATTATTTCCACTCAGTTTTAAAAGAATTATTCTATTTTGAAAGAACCTCGATGGAATTTATCTCTACACAGAGAGAGATCATCCATCCACTGGTTTACTCTCCAAATGGCTTCAGTTGTGGGAGCTGGGCTGGGCTGATCCACGTCTCCCATGTGCAGGAGCACAAGCACTTGGGCCGTCCTCTACTGCATTCCCAGGCCATACGCAGGGAGCTGGATTGGACTTGGAGAAGCCTGGACTCTGTCTGGTTCCTCTGTGGGATGCCGACTCCACAGGTGGCTGCTTTACTTGCTATACCACAGTGTCAGGCCCCCTTTCAATAATTAAGGATTTCAAAATGCCAGCCTACTGTCTTGTTGATGATCCTGAGTCAGGTTTTTCTCCATTAGCATGTGCACTCTGTTCCTAAGTGGTTACGTTGATGACGTTAGGAAGAGTAGGAGGCACATGTAGGGCAACTACATGGTGGGGCAGTTCTAGGAAGCAGAGCTCTTGCAGGGCTCAGTGGTGTCTCTAAGTTGGCCAGCCACCCTTACACAGACGGTACTGACCTGCAACCTTTCTTCCCTTTCTAGGTGATCGACATCTCCATGATCCTTGCAGAAGCTATCAGGAGAACTCACCATGGGGAATCTGTTTCCTACCTGTTCAGCCACGTCCCTTTGTAACAGTACAACTTCTAAGGCTCTTTCAAAATAAAAGCAACCCTACCCCTTGTTTTGCCCTTGGTATTTCAAGACATGTTTCAGATGAAGACCCAGCTTGCTCCAGTGTAGTTTTTTCCATCCTATATCAGGAATATTGGAGCTTATCCTTAACATGAGGGAAAGATAGATTGAAAGATGACCTGCTGGGATTTCCCAGCCTTTGTCTCATTCTGCCTCCCTCAATGGAATTTGTCTTGAGCCTTGCAGCTTTAAGTTCAGCTCAACTGCTGCAAGATTTCAGACTTGAGATGTTCAGATATGACTAGGGGATGCTCAGACTACTTTGCATGTGAAGGTTTCAGGGGTGTGTGTGTGTGTGTGTGTGTGTGTGTGTGTGTTCACACTAGCTAGCAACAAAGCCAACCCCTGCGACAAGCTCTTCAAGCTCTGTGCTAAATGATGAGTCTCAGGCAACCCCAATCCCAGGCAGGGTAGCTGAGCGGCCTCTAGGGAAGGAGTGGGCAGTTGAGCTTGAGCAGCTGTTCAGTAGGATCTGAAGCGAGGTGGGATGGTACAGTGCTACAGGTGCAACTTGGGAGGAAGAAGCCTGACCCGTCACCATCTCACTTGACTGTGTAGGTTCAATTCTCCTTTGTATGTGTTCATTTGGACTTGACCTTCAGCCACCTTTTCCTTTTCCCTGGCCCAACACACTCTGGGCCCAAGTGGTGGTTTTACCATGTCTGCTGGAAATAAAACTTGCCTCCTGCTTTATGATTATTAACATTCCCCTGCCATAGCTTAATCTTCCTTAGCCTACTGCCACTGTGGTTGTAGGCTGCAGGTGATACTGTAGTGGCTTTGGATTAATTTAAGTATTTAATTTTTCAACTTCCTTCTTTGGATCTATTTGGCCTTCCAAATGCCCTGAGATATCTGTTCCAAGGAGATGATTTTCAATTCACTTCATCCAGAAACATTTTTAAGCTTTTATGCTGGGCCTGCTGCTGTGCTAGGAACTTGCAATCAGAGGTGAATCATAGAACTATCTTGGCTCACTACAGCACCTGTGTTTACAAATATAACAATGGCAGGGTCCATTCGCAGTGAGGACACCTGGGAAGTGGCTTGTCAACTCTAATAGGAGACAGGGAAGGCTTCACAGAGGAGGTGATACATGCACATGCTTAACCTTGAAGGAGAAGTGAAAGTTTGCTCTGCAGTGATGAGGTGGAGGGGGCATATTTAAGTAAAGGACACTGGCATTCACAAAAGTGTGATGCCCTGAAGCAGAATAGCATGATGAAAGAATTGTGAGGATATTTCATGGCTGGAATATAGCATGTGAGGTAAAGGAGCATCAAGAAATGAAGTGGAGAAACAGGAAGCAGATGGTAAAAAGCTTGGTATCCTTTTTGTAAATATTTATTTTCATTGTGAAGTCAGATATACAGAGGGGAGGAGAGACAGAGGAACATCTTCCATCTCGTGATTCACTCCCCAAGTGACCGTAACAGCCAGAGCTGAGCAATCAGAAGCCATGAGCCTGGAGGCTCCCCTGGAACTCCCCCATGGGTGCAGTGTCCCAAGGCTTTGGGTCATCCTCAAGTGCTTTCCCAGGCCAAAAGCAGGGGGCTGGATGGGAAACAGGGCTGCCTGGATTACAACCAGTACCCATATGGCATCTTGGCACATTCAAGGTGAGGACTTTAGCCTCTTGGCCACCATGCTGGGCCTGCTTGGTAGCCTTTATGATTATAACTGGCAAGTGGTCTTCAAAGTATGATCCCTGGATCATCATCATCATCAGGTGGAAAGTTGTAGAGATGTAAATCCTTGGGCCCCATCACAGCCCTACTGAATCAGAAGCCATCGAGCTAAAGCCCAGTGTTTGTGTTTTAATAAGTTCTCCAGAGGATTTCGATGTGTGAAAACCAATGTTTAAGGAAAGTGATGCTTAAACTTTCTGCACATTAGAATTATCTTGGAAGCTTTGGAAAAAGAATTCTCTGCCCTAATCAAGACTGATTAAGTAAAAATCTATGTGTATAAAGTCCAAATATTGGAACTTTGTAGAATTTCGTAAGTGATTCTGATGTGCAACGAAGGTGACAAAATTCTGCTGCAGATTGGAGGCCAAAAACAACAAAAGCTACCAAAAAATCCCAAATGAGGAGAGAGAATAAGGTTCTGTCCTCTTGGGCTCCACAAAACACAGCACAGTAATTGGATGACCCAGCTATCGTGTTGCGGCCAGCTCACTTGCAGGGCAGGCAATCCCTGGCATCCCAAGTTACCCCCCTGTCAACTTCCATCCCTTGCCTGAGGGTTGCCCGGATCTATCACAGCATCCCGATGCAGGAGCAGCCACCTGGCAGGTAGGGTGGCCCACAGCTGCCCCTGCTCCTGCTCCAAGCCTCCAGCCAGTCAAGAGCCAGCAAATGCCCAGGGCCTGGCATCCTGCTCTCCTGGCTTCCACAGGAACTAGGCGCAAGTGCAACCGGGAGCAAGTGTCTGCTGGGGAGGAGAGACTGGGGCGCCACCAGGACGACCCAGGAGCCAAGGAAAGCACATCGGAGCCAAGGAAAGCGCACTGGGTGCAGTCCTTAGTTGGGGGAACACAGGTGCAGCATCCAGGCTTCTGGTCTAGACTTTCTGCTTGGGCCTCTGAGGTCCACCAGGGCCACTCTGAAGGCACTTTGGAGCACTGCATGCTGCAGTGACAGAGGGTCAGGATAGATAGTTGGGGATGCACGATGGTAGCACGCCTGGATTCAGGTGGGGCCAAAGGGAAGAACCCCGTTTTCCCACAGCTGCAGTCCCCTGCGTGGCCCAGGGATCCGCAGAGTCCTGTCCATGCACAGGCTCGGGGAAGCCTCTGGTCTTGGGCTCCAGGGGGAAAATTTTTGTGAGAGAGGGAGGGGAGAGCAGGATCACTGTAGGGAACTCCTGGCTTCCAGCAATGTGGGGTTTCCCACCCAAAGTACAGCCCCATGCAGAGCAGCCCCGGAACATGCCCACGGACACAGGCGCACTCCTAAAGGTCCCTGTCCACAGCCTCTGTCTTCAGGAAGTTTTAAGTCCCTTCCTCACCTCTGGGGATGCTCCCTGGGAGTCGCATCCACCCCAGCCTCCTGGGCTGCTGAGAGGGCTACACAGTGGTCCTGACAGCTCCACAAAGTGGCGAGCAGCAACCTGCCCCAGCCCCTTCTCCCACCGTGTCACCTTTACTGTCCACCTTTGTTTCCTAGCAACACGTGGTGTTTTCTTTCAATAAAAGATGAGCTGCAGACTATATTCAAGGTGTAAGTAATCCAAATGTCTTAACAACACAAATGTGAAAACTTTTGAGCTGTGTAAATGAACTAAAAATAACAAGAATAAACTGGTAACAAAAGTCCTGGGATAGGAAACAGAGAATGTCACAAAAAAGCTCAAGAAACAAAATCTTACTCTCAGATTTCATGGGAAATATCAAGGCGTGGATCCTGAAAGCTCAGAGATAATGAAAGAGACCACACAGAAAATAAAACACTCAAATTCATAAAAATACTAACAAATATAGTAATGACGAGACAATCCTAAAAGTGTCTAGAAAGAGCATATTACACAGATGCTAGCAATGTAAGAAAGAAGCTGAATTGAAATCAAAGTGTGGATTGCAGAAAGCAAGGCAGTGACATCTTCAACAGGCCAAGGAAAAAGTCACTAACTAAATACAAGAGGGAAACGTGCATTATGTTAACATAAGGGTTTCAACAGTTTTTGCACCAAATAAAACTTAGCTTTTATTCCACTTCCTTGAAACATTTTGAAGTAACCACGTAGAAAATCGTTTCAAATGAACAGTGAATGCAAACATTAAAATCCTGTTGATGCAAGCTAAAACAGTAGAGAGGAACCCTGTAGCAGTACAAGACTTCTTAAACAGAGAAAAGCAGAACATCAGGGATTTCAACTACTCTTAAAATGTAAACAGAAAGCTAAATACAGAACAGCTAACAAAGAGGAAGAACAGGTATCAATGAATTGGCTAACCAAAAAGGAGAGAAATTTTCTTTGAAAACTTGATAAAATTGACAACTGCTTTATGTACTAATCAAGCAACAATCGATAGAATTCAGGTTAACCACATCAAGAATTCCACACGTGACATTATCAAGAGCATCACAATCATAATCAAAAGCAATGAATTCTTCACTTAGTTTAAGTGGGTGCATTCCTTATAAAACAAAGCATCAAGTTGGACTGGTAGAAATAGAATATCTGCACAATGTGTATTCATTAACATGAATTTGAAATAAGAAAAAAAATCTCTCCAGGCAAACTCGAGGCCCAGAAAACTTCAGTACTCAGTTCTAACAAAGATTTCAGGAGACAGAAACAATGAGGAAATAAGATCAACTCTCCAGTATCTATTCCAAAATGCAAGAGGAAGGACACTTGCTGAAAGCCCTTGCTGAATGTGCATGATTCTGTTTTGTAAAACATGAGACACATCTTACAAGAAAAGAGAAATCTGGAACATTATTTCTCATGGCCATAGAAACAAATATAAAAGATAAAATATAAACATATCAAAGATAACAATACATAAAAGTATGTCATGGACAAAAGAAATCCAAGCTTTGTACAAAATTTCAGTCAGCATAAATTAACGCTGTAACTGATTGAAAGAGATTGTCTTAAGACATGGATAAAAGAGTTTTCGGCAAGATTCAGTGTATATTCAGGATGTAATTATTGGACAAAACTAGTGCGCAAATGAGGCTTCTGATGATGAATAGCTTTTGAGGAGCGATCGCCCTTGATGATGAAAGTGTGCTGTCTGTGAATCCAGGAGGAGAATGGTGTGTGCTGTTACTTGGTAAATGACTTCAACACTTAGTGGACGTTTTATTCAGGGCATTAAGGTAGGCAAGGAAAACAAAAGAGATACATACTTCTAATAAAAATACAATGGTGTTTATAATCCATTACATAGTTGTGTGTATAAAATTAAGGAACCATACTTTTTTTTTTTTTTAAAGATTTATTCTATTTTTATTGGAAAG